CCATTACATTTCTTCGGTGGCATTGGAGACAGGACAGATAGCGGCTGCACGCGACGACAGATCAGTGGAAGAATGACGACAGATCAATGGAAGAATGATCGTGACGAAAGCACTGCCCCGAAAGCACTCCATACATAAGGCAGCGTCTATTCTGAAGGGACTGACTGTGCGGTTGTTCAGGTACTAGCTGTTCCCATTCCGAATGATAGTGAGGTGATAAGGAAGAAGGACTGATAGCACAAAGAGAAAATTCATTCAACCACTCCCTCTCTCTCTACTGGGAGTTGTACGAGCTCGTTCCGACATGGGATCCTATCTAAGATATTCCCGGTGATTTTTCCCTCTGTTTCCTCTCGCGTTAGTTATCACGTTGTCATCAACATTTGAGTCCTGCTAAGCAGCATTTTTGATCGCGGGATGTGCCTTCAAGCGTAACACGCGGTATCATGCCTCGTTGACGCTCGTTTACTGGTGGTCAGGTACTGATCGTCAGAGACAAAACCGATTCCAGTAATAGTTGCCTTTGCAAAACTCAGCTTCTGTAGCAGTAATGTAGCGTCAGTACTGCACGTTGCAATACACACATGCCTCACCTTGTAGTACTCCGTAGATTTTTGCAGTGTCGATCAATAATCCTGAGGATGGTAAAAGACACACTAATCAGCTCATACCTCTCCAAACTTCTGCCTTATTATTCAGGTGAAGCTCTGAACTCTTACAGTTGCATGCCGATTGTGGATTGTTGAAATGACTTATTGGGTGAACGGTTTCATTACAGCAAGATCGCGAATGGTTCAAAACTGAACTGTCAACAAGAAATTTCTAGATAAGTCAGTCAATGATGCTGGTTTCCATGTTCCTACATTCAGTTCGGGTGAGTCACTCAAAATCATCTGACAAATTTTAGATGTAGTCTTTCAGGACTTTCCTTCGGGGGGATTTCCCACACTGCAAGTTTTCTTAAGAAACATTCCGTCATTCAGTCTCCGCGTGTTCGCTCAGTTCGTTGAGGGCGAAACCAATGAATGTGCGTGCAAAATAAGATATCTTGTAAAATACTACTGTGTAATATTATACTGCTGTGCTGTATATTGTATCACTGATCAAACATCTTGCCACTGTTCACCGTTTTAGATAGAGTTTTATTGTGCAACAAAATAAACTTCTGTAACCTAGATGAGCTCGATCGAAGATTTCGCTCGCGCAGATTTCTTACTTCATATTAACATGGACATTAAGGAGATCGAGTTTTTTTACGGATTTTACGGACTGCGTTCCAACCTAAGTCTACGGACCAGGGTACAGCATCGTTGTGTGAAACACATAATGGGTCGTACTTTTCCGCGGGGAGCGGGCTCGTATTCTGGATCGTTGGGAGAGAGGGGGTCATATGTGCCGTTTGAGAGAAATTTGCCGCGTTGGACAAAATTTTTTCTCGGTTGTTGACTTCTCGTGATTTTTCCTGTTTTATGTGTACTATATACCCACCCCACCCCACCCTCCGCCCGCCCGTTCCACGGAAAACATATTTTGGGTGAAAAGCTAGACTGGAAATTGCTGGGAAATTGCCGTGGGTAGGTGATAGAGGAACAGAGGGGTCGCGACGAGGCCCATTCGATATGAGGTGGAGAGAGAGGGCCAATTCCTACTTGCACACTCCTCTACTTCCTTATGAGGGAGGGGTCGTACCTACACTACCATTTCACATATCACGATGCTGTACCCTGCCACGGAATATTCCAACTATTAATTGAGCAGTAGCTAATAAGGGAAATAAGATGATGCGGCTGGCATTACCACAGGGATGGCAATCGCGTTATGACGGCGGCGTCGCCGCATGCAGACAACGCAGTACATTCGCATGCCTTGCGCTGGGTGAGATGGGGACAATATGAGCGCACCCGTGGGCCTCATATTGCTCCCCCATGAACCATTTTTTTCGCCGTGTTTTCGAAACTTCGCAAAATAGTGCGTCAATATGATGAGCAATCGTTGATAGCAGGAGGTTGCTTATTCCTACCACCGGGGCGCAATTCGCGATTTTGTTGAAATTTCATGATCATAACTTCTTGCTTCTGTTACTTACTCGCCAATTTCTGCCCTCTTTCACATCTTCGCCTGCGAATCACAGACGGTCACACAAATACACTTTGTTGGGATGAGTACTGTATGGAACTGCTATGGCTGAGCACAGGAGGATGTAACTTTTTTCCCACGCTCAGCATTGGCGAAGCGCGGACAACCGGAGTATTTTACGTAATCTGGCGCCATTTTCTAGAGAAAGGTTATGACGCCAAGTTGGCGCCCACTGGCGCCACGTAGCACCAGCATTGGGAGAAAAAGGAAATTTCTGTAGAGGATGTCGAATGAACCAAGTATGGGAATTCATATATATCCACTTCAGTACAAAAAAAACTAGTGGCACCACATTAGCGCCTATTGGCGCCGCATGGCATCAGCACTGCGAAGGAATAAAGTGTCTGCTCTAACAAGGGAGGTCTTTCAGGTCATGGCGCGCTTTTTAGAAATGGTTTGATGCATGCTATATGGGTTCATATGAGTGTCGCGAAATCTGGTTTCGTTTTTGCTATTTATGAGAATGCCAAAAAATGAGTGAAAACAATTTGACAAGAAAGGGCGATTTTAACCGGCTTATTGGGCTCTGTTGTAGCTGTAACTTTGAGAGTGCATAGTTTATGAGGTGTTCCTTCACTATGTATCGAAAAGAGAGCAAAATAAAGTCAAAAAGAAAGTGCATGGAGAAAAGTAGTACCGAAGTTACTTCAACGATTCCCGCAACCAGTGTTTCGTGGTCGACGGATGGCGGAGTGGATAGTGCGGTGGTCTCCCGAGAAGGAGCTTTGTGGATCGGATCCTCATGACATGGATGTATGCCATTTGAGACCTCATTCTGTACACTCAAAGCTCACGAGTCGAGCCTACTTAACTATTGCGCTCTCGAAACATTACTGAGGAAACTCTTGCTGAAAGTTGGGCTACGGGGATGACTGGATACCCTACTCACGAGTACGACACTCATTTTTGACCACGGCGCAACCTATCGCCGATTTGCTGCAAGAGCATTCTTGCACTGAAATCGTTGTCAACCCGCACGCAGGGGCTGTTAAGCGCCATGCTAGCGTCAAATGGCATAAAATAAGTGTCAAATCGTGAGCGGGCTACCAATTACTCCTGTATACGAACTTCCAGCAAAAAAAATTTGGAGGTTTTGGTGATAATGGACCGACCACTTGGTTGGCAGTGGCACCCGATCAGCGCACCCAGCGTAACTGGTTCCACTTTAACTTTCCAGGTGTAGATATTGTGCAATACATATATATGTCCCTTTTTAAAATTTGTAGTTGTTAGTTATGAGGGTATATACTAGTAAATAGAAAGGTCCAGGTATCGAAGTTGGATAACTACTTGTACAGGATACTGATAGCCACCAGTTCAACAAGACCAACCATCATAGCTCGAACAGCTCGAGGAGAAAAATTTCGCTGAAAGTCTGTATATAGAGGTTATTAACGGCCCTGATCACGGTTCTGACCTTTATAATTGGCGCCTAGGCCATTTGGCGCCAACATGGCTCTGAATACCCCCCCCCCTAACTGCGGGTTGGGATGCTGCGAGAATCACTTGAGAAACTACAATGCTGCCTCACTGTGTGCCAAATAAAGTACTTTTTTCACCTTGACTTGTATTGTTTCCGGTGCAGAAAGTTTCATTTGCTATACATACTCGACATCAGAAATAGAAAAGAGCCTAGAAAAATGGTTCAAAATCTTTTTCCTCAGCAAAATTTTCACTCATTTTTGACATTCCCAGAAATGCATAGCAAAAACGAAACCCATTTTTGTGATCCTTATATGCACCCCT